TTTTTTGTCCCCTTTAGTTTTTAGTCTTTTTTCCCGAAACTAAATGCCGCTTGCGCCCCTTTTTACAAAAAACGGTCTTCCCCGTATGCAGACTATTGTTTCCTTGCCTCGCAGCAGATGCTCACTCGTGCTTATGAAGAAGGCCCACATTTAGGACTCTTCGACATGCTTGTGTGGGTTTATCTAGTCGACTCATATGCCACATAATACACTCCCATGTTGCCGCTGTCAACATCCAGTCCGCCAGTTTTGAACACGTCAACTTCAGACAGCCACCCTTAACATTTCAGTCAGCCAGGTGTCAGCATTCATTTGGCCACTCCCAACGCTGAGTTAGCACTACAGTATTTAGTTAGTCACTCCCAATGTTCAGTTAGCCGCTCCCAATGTTCAGTCAAGCGCACCCAACACTGAGTCTTGCCACAGGGTCAGCATTTAGTTTACAAACGCCCCCCCAGTATTTCAATTAGTCACTCCCATATTTAGTTTGCCACTCCCAACATTTATTAAGTCGCTTCAAGTGTTTCAGTTCGCCGCTCCCCAACGTTCAGTTAGCCACACCCCAACGTTCGTTAGCGCTCCCAATGTTTAGTTAGCCGTTCCCACAGTTCACTTAGGCCGCTCCCAATGTTCACTATTAACCGCTCACCCAAATGTTGGGTTAGCCACTCCCAACCTTCAGTTAGGCCGCTCCCAATTGTTCAGGTTAGCCGCTCCCAATGTTCAGTTAACCGCTCCAATGTTCACGTAAGCCACGCCCAGTATTCAGTTAGTGCCCGCCAATTATTCAGTTTTGCCACTCCCAGCATTCAGTTTGCCACTTACAGCACTCAGTTACCGAGTGTCAACATCCAGTAACCTGTTCCAATCCTCATCTAGTCTGTCCTACTATTGATTGAGACCGGTCCCAGTATTCACTAGCCAGTAGTAACAGGAATTCACTGGGCGAATATTGTTAACATTCTACACCACCGCAAACTTTATTACATTGCAGCAAACAAGTATGAAGAAATTCCGCCGCCCAGAATTTATTCCCTCGAAATTATTCCAGTAAAAGTTTTCAGAACATTTGCTGGGTTTGGCTAATCGTTGCTGGTTTTTCACCACACAGGATGCCAGCCGAAAATTGAGATACACCCTGAGAATTTGATAATCCCTGAGAAATTTAGCTTCTCTTCATGGTGACTAAAAACAACGTTGACAAAAGCTCAGACAGTTCCGTTTTCAACATGTAAGGAGAATTAGAACTGGGGGCACCCGTAAACGATCTGCTAGCCTGTGTGTGTACAGTTGGTAAACTGAGCTCTCTGAACATAGTTTTAAATCTGTTAACTCATTTATTATTAATCTTCTTCTTTCCGTTCCCCCTCGACCAGTTATTTTTGGATAAGAAGACCAACATACATCTATTGAAGTTTGTGGTGCGGACACATCTCTCCCACCACTTCCACCCATTAACACAGAATTGTTTATATTGGAATGGCCAACCGGGACACTTTGCTGTCATCTGGATTACATAAAAAGTTAGCACTGAGAAAATTTTATGAACAAAATATCCCTAACGCTGTCACTGAAAAATAAAGCAACTTCCTTGCATTGCATAAAATTACTTTAAAATCAAATGTTTAAAATAAATTCAACTAAAAAAAAAAATACTGTGATTTCTAGGTTATATTTTACAGTTATTGTGCAGTTTTGTTTTGTTGGTTGGTGGAACTTTTGCAGTTGTACATAAATTTCATCACAGAGAGCAAGTCCCAGACAGCAGCCAGCTGGCCCACTTTCTGACTGCCTTGTTTACTTTACCCAAATCTGAAACGGTTTTATCATGGGGCTGATCAACGGCAATGAAAATGATGGGCTGTACAGTCCGTATATTGAAAATCACAATAACAGGTTCGTACATGATTTTATTTTATTACTACTGTAACATTTTGACAGTATATTGCCAATCCAATAGTAATACTAAAAATAATAATACTGTGTGAGGGGACAAATTGGGGGGGGGGGGGGGGGGGGGGGGGGTGATAAATAAACCCAATTAAAAAACAAAAAACACACTAATTACTAATAAAAATATTATAATAATAATTACTAAATTAAATCTGTTGAATTTTGGTCAGTTATTCTAACTCTTTAAGGCCCATGAATTTTGACACACTTGGCCCACATTAATTTCCCTTTACAAAAATGGCAGAGGGGTGGGTGCACAAGAAAGGCTGTAGAGATTGTAATATACTTCTAATCCCTATAAAAGTATATATTTTTTAAAAGAGAAATGAATGTACATTTTGAATCCGATGATAAGTGTTTTTTTTAATTTTGTTATAGTTAGTGTGAAAGAAGAATTCAGCAGGTGTTAATTTCACAAGGACAACATTTAACGGCTCTACTGGCAAATCCGGACGAAGAATAAACAGACTTGGACGACTTAGTCAGAGTTATCTCCCGTCGCCGCACTCCGAACAGTAATCGGAAAACAAACGAAACAAACGACAAACTTACCTATCATCCTGCGGTTGCGTGTAGGGCTGCGTACGGTTGCGTGAGACATCGTGGCATCATCATATGGTTGCGTGCACAGTTGCGTACGGTTGCGTGAGGCATTGTGAATGGTTGTGTAGTCATCATCATGCGGTTGTTGGATTAGAGTTAGGGTTAGGGGTAGGGTTAGGGTTAGGGGTAGGGTTAATGTTAGGGGTAGGGGTAGGGTTAGGGGTAGGGTTAGGGGTAGGGTTAATGTTAGGGGTAGGGTTAGGGGTAGGGTTAGGGGTAGGGTTAGATGTGAAAATTTTGACGTAGGATTTCGAAATACTGGCCGACAATATGATGTTTGTGGGAGTGGCGCCACTGAAACTCTGCCAAATATGACGCCAATAGCGTGCGGCTGGTGCCCCCAATCGTTGGCGAATTGTGCGTGTGACCAGCATCCAGAGGCCCTCGATTGTTTGTTTGTGTGTATGGAACTGTGCGCGATTATAGGGAACTCCGGCGTCAAAATTGTCAAATCTAACGCTAATCCTAACCCTACCGCTAACCCTAATCCTAATCCTAACCCTAACCCTAACCCTAACCCCTACCCCCCTAACCACGCAAATTTATCGATCATTAAAGCATACAAATCGGCAAACACCAACAAACAAAACACACCCAAAAAAAAAACACCCAGAATTGTCCTGCAGCGTCGAAAAAAAAACCCAGATCTGGGGGAAACAACCAAGCATTGGCAGCCCTGATGTCGACGTGACTGTCTTCTTTGTTTCGTTGTGGATTTTCCGATCACTGTTTGGAGTGCGGCGACGGGAGAGAACTCTCACTAAGTCGTCCAAGGCTGTTTATTCTTCGTCCGGATTTGCCAGTAGAGCCCATTTAACAAAAAAAGTCTTCACTTACTATGGTTTTGCAGCCACAAGAGTAGTAAATATCCAAATTTGAGAACAAAACTTCAAAGTTTGTTCAATTTCCTAACATATTCCAAAGTTATAATAACTTTCTGGGTAAGTTTAGCACTCAGGAGCTCTTAGTTCTCACAGAGTGCTGAGCAAAATTTCAGATAAAAAATGGCAGAAAAATAAGCCATTACACACACACTATTTACTTTTTACTTTGTACAGTTATTTACAGACTGTAGCCGCGATGATTTTAGTGTAGCTTAGCCATAGTATAGTACTGTCTCTTTGTTTAGAGCACTTTCCTTCTCTTACATCATAAATACGGTAGTATGGGACATTGTCTGTGTAATAAACTCATCAGAATTGCTAGATTCCGAACAGCTGATCGCTCAGCTTCACTGGTGAAAATTCACCATCCGAATCACTTTCCGAAAAATCTAAATGTTTATTATCATTATCACAATTAGAAAAATCTAACTGAAACAATTTCAGAGCATCAGCAGCAAAAAGACGCATTCTGCGACCTGTACTTGTAGTTGGAACATTGGTATTCATGGCACTCAAAAACAAACTTAGAAAATGAACTGCTAAAAAAAAATTTCCATGTGTTTTCTCTTAAATTATCCACGTGTGGTTTAGTCCAGGAAATGAAACTAAAAGGATTTCGGCAGAGTGACTTTCCCTGAATAGTTAAATCGTACCTCCAAACATTAGAAACTAGTACAAAGCCGCGTGCGAAGCAAAATATAAGGGACTCATGAGTGACGATGACACTGTTGTTTGGGCAAAACGGAACCCTCTCAAACAACGCTCACACCGTCGTGTGGGCCTCAAAGAGCTAATATAGGGAATCATTAATCTCAAACAATCATCAATCATGAATGATCTTGATGAATGATGATCATCAAATTAAATGTTAAGTGTGCTGTTCTAAACTTGATAATGACAGAGGCCCAAAAAAAAAAAGTCACTCTTCTGGTAGGTAATGATCCCAGTATGTTCATTCAGGGACATATGGAGTTTATATTGATATGTTTACAACTTTTGGTTCTCCTTGCAATAACGGTTTACTGTTCGCGCATGTGGCCTCAGGACAACATCAAACCAGCAGCCGCCAGGATGGCGCTGGTACTTCGGACAGAAGAAGTAGCTCCTGTAAATTGTTGATACTTTTTCCGGCGACAATAGTGCCACCTCCGAGTGTATCCCCCGTGCCGCTACGCGCGGCGCAGAAGGCGCTAAACTAGATGGCTAGGACTCACGAGCAGCAGCTACCGCAGCCGCAGCTCCTGCAGCTTCCTTCAATGTATTACAGCTGATCATGTCTCGCCCGGAACGAGCATGTTGAACTGACTTTGTTTCGTGCCTTGTCCACTCCGTAATTGCACTGCAGCCAGGGGACTGAACTCCGACTGAACGGCTGTCGCTGTCCAAGTAGCGACCGTTATTGCAAGGAGAGCCCAACTTTTAAAACTGAAAAAAAATGTTTAAAACCAAGCTACGAATTTTCAGTTCTGGTATCATTTTAGTTCTAAAATATGCCAAATAAAGTTGAAGAACCAGAAAGGACATGGAACAGAACTTCAGTGACAATGCATTCAGAAACAAATGCCTAAGTGGATAATGTTGATTGTCTCCTTTCTTTCTTTCCAGATGATAGGGTTATATTACGCTATATAAGGAGGCATGGGACTCACAGTCCGTGGCAATGGCGAGTGTCACTAGCAAGACCCGCCTGTGTTGAGAAAAGTCTTCCACAATTGTAGCAGATGATTTCAGGACTTTTGTCAGCATTTATGTTTAGTCTGTTTCTTCTGAGACGCTCAGCTCTAATCCTTTCTGCAGCCATTTCTGGCTTCATTCTCATTCACTTCCTGATGTGCTCCCTCCACACAGTATGGTTCATGGCATTTTTGTTCCCACGAGTCCACCTTAGTACCTGTATCATTCATGTCCCTGCTTGCAGATAAATATTAAATTGCATGAATTCAAGAAAGGTGAAGAAATAAGGAAATTGTCTAGACAAAGCTAGTATCAACAGTTATAAGACAGAGAATATGGGAATATGTTAGGCACATCCTCAGGAGAAGGGAACAGAGAATAAGTGGGTAAAAAAATGGGTGCTGTTCACGGTAACAGTGACGTTGACTTTTTATTCATAGCTTCTTGGACTCTTCTGAAACGGGTCACATGAATTAACCTAATTCAAGCGGTTACTGTGAACAGCACCAAAACATAAAATGGATCTGAGGAAACAGTGTTCAAAAGAAACCGAGTCTGTTAACAGTCATCATCATAGAAGACCCAACCCTCATTCTCGAGTAACAAGACCGCATGTTTCAGTGTCCCAAGAAAATCTGGCTTATAGTCGCTGGAAAGGAGTTCGTCGATCCAGGCGTCTTGACAACTGTAAGCTTTTCTTCTTCTTCTTCTCTTCCTCTTCTTCTTCCTCTTCTTCTTCTTCATCTTCTCTTCCTCCTTCTCCTCGTTCTCCTTCTCCTTCCTCCTCTTCCTCCTCTTCATCTTCTTCTTCTTCTGCACGTTCGCTATTAAAATGGAGGTTGAAATGTTGTGGTCATGGTGTCGGCACCTTTTGGCAGAATACATTAAATTTCAGCAGAAACTTAATTATTCGCACATCTTTAAGGTGCAGTGAGTCTACAATCCCCCCCCCCCATTTCCAAAAGGGCCACACAGAGAACAATTGTTAAGTGATAACCTTGAAAGGTGAGTAAGGAAGCAAAGCTTCTCTTCCCCTGGGTGCTTTCTTGTAGTTACTGAGGTCTCTTAAGTTTTGTTCTGTTTGTTTTTATCCTGCCTGATCTCTGTTTAATCATTTGAGTGTTTGGCTACCTTGAATAAATTGCAGAGAATGGCAGATAATATGTGACAAAAGTGGCATACACAGAAGTTGGGTGCTTTCCAAATATCTCCCTCCCAGGATGATGTCACAGGACAATCCAATATTTAATTGGGTGGTAAGAGCGGGTTTCCTGACTTTCTGATGCTTTCAACTACCCCAAAACATCTAGAAATGTTTCCTAACCCCAACCCACCTACCTCCCACGAGAGAGTGCAGCCTAGGTCCCACGACTGCATGCAGCTTATCTACCACCCCTTAAAATATTCAACTGTCTGTTTGGGGGGAGATATTGGGATAGTACCAAAAGTTGAATGGGAGTAGACCATAAAGCAGACCAAGAAAATTGTGGAGAGATAATATACAGGCAGACCTACAGACACTTGGCACCACCAACTGGCTTGAGAAACCCAGTCACAAAGATGAATATGGGCGGGTGATATCTGTAGCAGTGAACCTCAAGGGCATGGAATACTGAGGAAGATGAACAAGAGTATAGTATTTTGTTAGCAGCATCCAAAAGATGCTCACAATGTCCAGTCTTGTTTAGTTGTCCTATAACAGGTCCATAGTTATTGTTAAACTCTATAGATAATAAATGCAGTTATTTTTCAGACCTGTAGATAGAAGGTTTAGTTACTTTCGAACACCTTTATTTTCTGTCTAAATTTTAAAGATTTTACAAAATCTTGATGCGTTTGAAAACTTTTTTCTGTATTTGTCTTTTAATTAGAGATGCATCTTGTGGTTACAACTCAGGTTTTATGTATTTTATGTTATCAGTATTATGTGGCTTAGTTAAAAGGGTTTGAAGGGGGGAAAAAGTTTAACTTACGTCGTTGAATTGTGTTCACAGTGAAATACCTGATTAATTTGCAAGAGAAGGACGACGAGCTTGTGGCTAATGACCCATCGTCGACCTTTGAACCAAGCTGTTCTTTGTTTGAAGCACTGTTTGATAACCCAGATAAGATGGAAGTGAGTTGTATATTAAAAGTGAACAAGTTAATGATTGTCATATACCTTGGCTGCCGTGCAGAGATCATCCTGAACCAGACGTGGTAGCGCAGCAGGACTAATGCTCTGGATGGTCCAATATCATGGAAGGATATAAAACTGAATCAGAAGTATTTTAGCAAGCTTCACAATATAGCAAACACTAAGGAAAAGTGAACGTTGCGTCTATAGAGCCTTTATGCATAAATAAAATAAAATCGCAGTTTGATATTAGTTCTAGAAACAGTTTCCCAACCTGGGGGGGGGGGGGGGAGATTGGGAGGGTGCTTGACTTCAGGGTTGTTGGTGCTGGTTGTAATTGTGGTTCCCAGGACAGAGGATCGTGATTTTCAGGGTCGTTGGTGCCGGTTGTAATTGTGGCTCCCAGGACAGAGGATTGTAATTTCAGGGTTGTTGGTGCAGGTTGTAATTGTGGTTTCCAGGACAGAGGATCATGATTTTTAGGGTCGTTAGTGCCGGTTGTAATTGTGGCTCCCGGTACAGAGGATCTTGATTTCAGGGTCGTTGGTGCAGGTTGTAATTGTGGCTCTCGGGAAAAAGGATCGTGATTTCAGTGCGTTGGTGCAGTTCGACTTTGATTGAGAAGCTGGGCCATTTCATTTATACTCTCACACTGAGTGTAAAAAAGAGGTTACAATAGATTTCAGCCAGGTGCAGCGCGACATGTTGTGTGTCTGTGTACTGTCAGTGGTGCTCTCAGCGATGAGTCAGATGAATGCAAGTGTTCAGTTCGGAGTGAGTGTTGAATTCATCCTCACATGTACTTTGACACACCTAAGGGTCACTTCTGTGTTTTGGATGCAGCTAGACAGATACACATATCGGTTGAAAATATATGCACACTCACATATGTAATGTACACAAGCACATATAAATGCAAAATATTTTCCCACATGTCTTGAGCCCGCCATATGCCACCATATCCATGAAAAAGACCAAAACCTTGAAAATCTTTGTAACAAGTTGATAATTTTGCTGGGTCCTGGATGCTGTTAAGCAATAGTCTTGTATATCTTCAAATAATTATCATATTTGCAATGTGTTTAAAAAAAAAAAAAAAAAAAAAAAAAATAATTACTTAAAGCATCATGCTATGTTGATAACTATTCGCAACATCATTTGTTTAAACAGATGTGGAACAGTTTTGATGATAACTATTCTCAACATCATTTGTTTAAACAGATGTGGAACAGTTTTGTTAATAACTATTCTCAACATCATTTGTTTAAACAGATGTAGAAAATTTTTTATGATAACTATTCTCAACATCATTTGTTTAAACAAATGTGGAACAGTTTTGTTGATAACTATTGTCAACATCATTTGTTTAAACAAATGTGGAACAGTTTTGTTGATAAGAGTTCGCAACATCATTTGTTTAAACAGATGTGGAACAGTTTTGTTGATAACTATTTTCGGCATCATTTGTTTAAACAGATGTGGAACAGTTTTGTTGATAACAGTTCGCAACATCATTTGTTTAAACAAATGTGGAACAGTTTTGTTGATAACTATTCTCAACATAATTTGTTTAAACAGATGTGGAACAGTTTTGTTGATAACTATTTTCGGCATCATTTGTTTAAACAGATGTGGAACAGTTTTGTTGATAACAGTTCTCAACATCATTACAAATGTGGAACAGTTTTGTTGATAACTATTCTCAACATAATTTGTTTAAACAGATGTGGAACAGTTTTGTGGAAAGCTCAGAAGAAGAGCAGTGGAAAATCCTCAACTATAGAGGCCTGCATGACATCAAGGAGGACAGCGAGGAGGGGGAGGCTGGTGCTGAAGTGTCTGCACAAACTGCTGAAGATAGCTGGGTGATGATACTGGATGAGAGAAGTGGTAAGTTAGGTTGGTTATTTGTAGTAATAAGATAATTTTTGGTAATCAAAACCCTGTTGAAGCTGGAGCCATAACTACATTTCCTTTTATATTCAGTAGATCAAACATCAAATGAAGGAAGTTATCACTCTTTGCTTCCACAATGGGCCCCAGTTACACATGGTTTGATAAAAGATCAGAGTTGTTTCAAAACCTGCTTCTAGTCATCTAGTTGAATTGATTTCTTGGGGGAAAAACATTTGAAGCATGAACAGACTGTGATAAATTCTAAATAAGTTATTTTTAAATTTAATTCCTGAAAGGAAAAAATGCATTAGCAAATTAGAGTTGCACAACATTTTAATAATGTCAGTTTTTTTAAACTGATTTCTAAACAAAATAAATAGCATTAATAGATGAAAATTTTATTCTCACTATGTAAGTTCTGGGGGTCTAACTTTTGAGGGAGAAATAATAGACCCACTGCTGCTTATGTCATAAAAGATGACTAATTAAGGGTATGCTGAGGTTCCTTATTAATATCCAACCCCAGATGATGTCACAGGACAGTAAAACATTTTAGAGAGTGGTAAGACTGAGTTTCCCGGCTTTCTGATGCTTTTAATGACCCTAAAACATCTAGAACTGACCCCAACCCCAACCCACCTGTGTCCCATGAAAGAGTGCAGCCATAGGTCCCACGAATGCCTGCAGCCTAGGTCCCACGACTGCATGCAGCCTATCTACCACCCCCTGAAATATTAGACTGTCCCGTGACCTGTGGATTTTCCTTGTTTGGGGTAAGATATTAATAAAGCATGTATGCTGAAATTAGATATGTAGGTTTCAGAGCTGAGCTGTAAACCACAACATGTGTCAGCTGTCCTCCTAAGGATGAACACAGAAGATGGATTAGTTAAGTTAGATTGATTCCAAAAAAAAAAGCAGTTGCATTGACTTTATGAATGAGTGCATGTGGATGGTGGATATTTAAGCAGCATTTTTGTTTTACCAGACCATCCTGCCTTCAGCCCAAAGGAATGCTACAGCCGAGTTGACAGAAACTTGAGAGCACTGCTGAAGCGTAGACAACTGCCAATGGTGAGTTGTGTTCAGTAGTGTGTGTACTCTCTTTCTGTGGTTTTTTTCTGTGATGTTCTGTTTGTATATGTGAGGCATGATCAAAGAAAACCAGTGCCAGCTGCATTATAACAAACATATGATAGGTTCATTAGTAGATGTGGCAAAAATAAACATAGCGGCCATTAGGAGGCAGTTTACTGTGCTCATCAGAAGCAGTTACCTTGGCGTTTACACATGCCTGCTTCTGCAGGAGGTGGCTGATATCAAGGCCCTTTGGGAACAAGCAAGGGAATCAGCAGAGAAAGAAGATTATTATGGCCTGGAGAGAATGAAAACACCTGGGGTAACCAGAAGGTCTGGCTGGTTCACTACACTCAAAGGCAAGGCAAGACGGATATATAACCAGATTGTGACCGGTACCATCAATATTGGAACTCTGCGCTGGCTGCTAAAGATGAGGACGAAGCATGCTTGGGAATGCCCTGAGTGCTGTGATGTCAATTCTTGACTCAACTCACCTGTGAAAAATGCGCAGGCTGGGATTTAAACCAGTTGCTGTATTACAGAGTAGAGGGAGATGCATTTCTATGGCAAAAAGTGGCAGAAGATGAATCATAGTGCCATCATTTTAAAGCCATGCAGGAAGACAGTGAACATGTAATAAAAATATAACAAAACAAAAATTCAAAGATTTGTTTTAAGTCCTTCTTCAAATACATTTAGAATGAAGTTATTCATATTCCTGTTGTGCCATTATATGTCACAGCGCTTGCAGTCTATTTCTTCATTCCGTTGTGTCCTGTGCAGTCAGTTCGAAATCATGGATGAAATCCTGTCCAGCAGCTTTGGCCTTTCTCATCAACGTTCATTTTAGGGTTTCTTTTAGGCGTCCTCGCCTCCTCAATCCCTGCATATCCAACTTCAGTACCTGTTTGTTGATTCTCAGCTGGTTTATTCTCAGGCTGTATCCAGTGGAGCACCATCTTCTCTGACTCATAACTGTTGATACTAGAGGTTGTCCAGACGTTTCTCTTAGTTCTTCACTCCTTTTAAATTCATCCCATTTTATTTTCCTTATTTTCCTGAAGCATGTGTTTTCTAACACAGTTAACTTTTGCTCCATGTCTCTAGTGATTCTCCAACCTTCAGTGGCATATGTTAAAACTGGAATAACATTAGAATTGAAAATATGTAGCTTGGTTTTACAACGATGCAATTTACCATAGTTTTTTTTTTCATGCTGTTAAAAGCTGCTGTTGTCTTGCCAGTGTGAATAAAGTTATTAGGACGGGTTTAATTTGATCCTTTCTCATACATCACACATGCAAGTGCACATTCTTCTAGATTATTTCTTTCAGTGACATGTACTTTTTTTTGAAGACATGTTTTGTTTGAGTTACCATGGACTAGGAGGAGAAACATTGTCATTTTGCATGGCCTGAACATCAAGGAGAACAGGCTGGTAAACAGCATCCTGTTCTGACAGTTGGGCTACTTTGGACATGTCAAGCGCCGTGGTAGTCCAGAGAGAATGGCGATGGAGGCTGCAGTTTCTCGCAAACAAGGTAGAGGCCGACCTCTGCGAATGTGGATAGAAGACATTGAACATTCACTAGCTATGAAGGCACAAAGGACTGGAGAATTGGCTAGAGAAAAAGAAACCTCTACGTGTTCCGTAAAGAAAGCGACCTTTTGTAAAGAATATGCTGATTAATGTCGATGATAGTTTGAGTTAAAAAATCGTACAGTAGTGGAAATATAATTTATGAGCATATTCAGTTTTTGAATTTGTTTTGTCTTGTTTTTGCCACTTGTGAACCAATGCTTTAATTTTTCCTTCTCTACACACAACTGCTGGCTTCACCAGGCTGTAGTTGCTATTACCTATGTGGCCCAATTATAACTTCTTTATAGGTTTAACAGAGTATGTCAAATTTTCCCTGTTTGTTTGTGTCATCTCCCTGTGTGGGTTTCAGGGCCTCATTTTAGGGGGAAAGAATAGACCCACTGCTGCCCTAACAAACATGTTGTAAAAGGTTACTAATTTAGGTCTGCATACAAATAAGCCAGATCTGGAAGAAAAAAAAAAACCGGTGCCTCCACAAACAACCAGAACTTTCAGCCAGATTTTACAGCCAGTGAATGACAAGAAGAGGAGATGTTTGCCATTCAGGATAGGATTCTTGAAGTCTCAGGAGTGATCAGACCTTCAGGTAACAGCCCAAATGGGAAAATAGTTGATGATGATGATGATGACCATAGATACTTTTATGTGGTTTCCAGTTTGCAAAATGTTTCTCAGGACTATCGATGTTATAGTATTTTGATAGGATTTCTATCCCGCCATTCATTCTTTTGTTACTTCATTTTTCTGGTTCTCTTGAACCAGATGCTCTCCTATTGAAGGGCAAATGACACATCCTGAAACACTTTTTTTATAAAACCCAAAATTCCTTGTGGGTTCTGGGCCCCATTGTCGAGAAAACAAGAATAGACCTACTGCCTGTCCAAAAAGTATGTCGTATGAGTCAACTAATAGGGGGCTTTCTTTGAATGAAGTTAGGGTATATCTGCCTGAGAAGCAAAGAACTAACAATCTGTATACAGAAAAGCCAAATCTGTAAAACAGATGTGCATGCAACTCTCAGGTTCTGGAATAGACTAAAGTCCGAAGGTGGACGAACAACCGGAACTTTCCGCTGGAGTTTACAGCTAGTGAATGTGAAGAAGAAGAGGATAACTAACCAAATTCTGATTCTTTTTTAGTGATGGTAACATTATTTCTGATGTATTTCCTTTCACTTGAGATGTTCATGTTCGTCTACGTTTGCTAGTCCATACCACAGAGCTTGTCGTCACATTTGATCTTGTACTTCTTGGGCGAATTCCTGTGTTTTGGCTGTCCATGTTATTTTCAGCAAGTGCCTAAAAAACCATATTTCTGTGGCATCCAGCATTTTCTTGCCTGTTTACTGTCAGTGATTGGCTGCCGTATATGAAATTGTTTCTGAGTAACTAAAAATGCAGATTACTTTTTGAAAACAAAATTTGTCTTCTTCAAGCCTTTGTATTCTGCGATGAGTAGCCGTGGCGGAGCGGCTAGATGCTCGCCGCCGATCCGAAGGTCGTAGGTCTGCTCCTTGGCGGAGCCGGACTTTAAAAAAAAATGTCCTTGGTTCCCAGCCTTGAGCGGGTACAGGGTGCAGTCCTGGGAAGTAAAGGCGGCCGGTGTGATCCTGATCACATCACCCATCTTGTGCCGATTGATCTATAAAATGTAGGTCTAGCCCTATACGCGTGGTAAAAGGTCCCTTTCTATACTTTGTATTCTGCAGGATTAACATCTCATGGACGAGAATAAAATGGGTAAAAATCTTTGAAACCAGGTTAGACCATATAACAGAGATAAACAGGGGCACCTGATAGTTAACTGAGTCGTTTGTAATCCAAATGATCTCGGTAAATACCTATTACTAAATGCTGGGTGCTTCATTACCTTTTTTTTAAGAAAATGTTTGATTTATTTTCAGGGGATGCTGGCTAACCTGGAGAGAGAAATTGTGACGTTCTTCCATGATTTTCCAGCCTCTGTGTACATATCTAATGTCTCCAACAGCTTTGAGAGGATGTTGCTTCATGCTCTCTGCCAGTATTTAAACCTCCGTTCTCACAGTAGGTTTCTGGTAGCTTTTTTGTTTTTTTTTTAAATTTTGTCTTCACCATTATCATCATTGTGATGACGGGTGTCATCTCATAGTAGGTTTCTGATTCTGAGGCTCTTTTTTTTCATGATCTTCATCACCATCATCAATACTACTACCACTGTTATCATCTTAATCAATATCGTCTCTACCACCATCATTGTCATTATCATCCTTATCAGAGTCATCTCTACCACCATCATTGTCATAATCATCTTTATCACTGTCATCTCTATCTCAATCATTGTCATTATCATCTTTATCACTGTCATCTGTACCACCATCGTTGTCATTATCATCCTTATCAGAGTCATCTCTACCACCATCATTGTCATTATCATCTTTGTCACCATTGTCACTACTACCATCAATGTAATTATCATCTTTATCACCATCATCACTACTACCATCAATGTCATTATCATCTTTATCACCATCGTCACTACTACCATCAATGTCATTATCATCTTTATCACCTTGATCAATACCACCATCAATGTCATTATCATCTTTATCACCATCGTCACTGCTACCATCAGTGTCATTATCATCTTTATCACATTGATCAATACCACCATCAATGTCATTATCATCTTTATCACCATCGTCACTACCACCATCAGTGTCATTATCATCTTTATTACTGTCATCTCTACCACCATTATTGTCATTATTATCTTTATTACTGTCATCTCTACCTCCATCATTGTCATTATTATCTTTATTACTGTCATCTCTACCACCATCATTGTCATTATTATCTTTATCACCATGTCACTACCACCATAATTTTTATTACCATCTTTATCAACATTGTCACTATCACCATCAGTGTCATAATCTTTATCACCATCATCACTACCACCATCTATGTCATCATCTTTATCACTGTCATCGCTACCACCATAATTGACATTATCATCATTATCATTGTGTCACTACCACCATCACTGTCATTATCATCTTTATCACCATTGTCACTACCACCATCAGTGTCATTATCATCTTTATTACTGTCATCTCTACCACCATCATTGTCATTATTATCTTTATTACTGTCATCTCTACCTCCATCATTGTCATTATTATCTTCATTACTGTCATCTCTACCATCATCATTGTCATTATTATCTTTATTACTGTCATCTCTACCTCCATCATTGTCATTATTATCTTCATTACTGTCATCTCTACCATCATCATTGTCATTATCATCTTTATTACTGCCATCTCTACCTCCATCATTGTCATTATTACCTTTATTACTGTCATCTCTACCTCCATCATTGTCATTATTATCTTTATCACCATGTCACTACCACCATAATTTTTATTACCATCTTTATCAACATTGTCACTATCACCATCAGTGTCATAATCGTTATCACCATCGTCACTACCACCATCACTGTCATTATTATCATTATCAGCGTGTCACTACCACCATCAGTGTCATTATCAACTTTATCACCATCGTCACTACTACCATCAATGTCATTATCATCTTTATCACCTTGATCACTGTCATTGCTACCACCATAATTGACATTATCATCATTATCATTGTGTCACTACCACCATCACTGTCATTATCATCTTTATCACTGTCATCGCTACCACCATAATTGTCATTATCATTATCAGCGCGTCATTATCATCTTTATCACTGTCATCGCTACCACCATAATTGACATTATCATTATCAGCGTGTCACTACCACCATCAGTGTCATTATCAACTTTATCACCATCGTCACTACTACCATCAATGTCATTATCATCTTTATCACCTTGATCAATACCACCATCAATGTCATTATCATCTTTATCACCATCGTTACTACCACCATCAGTGTCATTATCATCTTTATTACTGTCATCTCTACCACCATCATTGTCATTATTATCTTTATTACTGTCATCTCTACCTCCATCATTGTCATTATTATCTTTATTACTGTCATCTCTACCTCCATCATTGTCATTATTATCTTCATTACTGTCAGCTCTACCATCATCATTGTCATTATTATCTTTATTACTGCCATCTCTACCTCCATCATTGTCATTATTATCTTTATTACTGTCATCTCTACCACTATCATTGTCATTATTATCTTTATTACTGTCATCTCTACCTCCATCATTGTCATTATTATCTTTATTACTGTCATCTCTACCTCCATCATTGTCATTATTATCTTTATCACAATGTCACTACCACCATAATTTTTATTACCATCTTTATCAACATTGTCACTATCACCATCAGTGTCATAATCTTTATCACCATCGTCACTACCACCATCTATGTCATTATCATCTTTATCACTGTCATCGCTACCACCATAATTGACATTATCATCATTATCATTGTGCCACTACCACCATCTATGTCATTATCATCTTTATCACTGTCATCGCTACCACCATAATTGACATTATTATCATTATCAGCGTGTCACTACCACCATCAGTGTCATTATCATCTTTATCACTGTCATCGCTACCACCATAATTGACATTATCATTATCAGCGTGTCACTACCACCATCAGTGTCATTATCATCTTTATCACTGTCATCGCTACCACCATAATTGACATTATCATTATCAGCGTATCACTACCGCCATCAGTGTCACCATCCTTATCACTGTCATCACTAGCACCATCAGTGTCATTATCATCTTTTGCAGGCTTGCTGTTTTGAATTATGACATGTGATAACTTCACTATGATGATTTCTTTGCTTACATGTAAAATACATCTCTGGCTGTAGAAGTTATAACATGCAAACTTTATTATAATTTCTTTAGTATCGATGGTTATAATTTAGGTATTTGATATGGTGTCTAGTTATCACTGTTAAGTAACTTTTAATGTTTTTTCATTCTGCCCCAGATATTATTATTTATTTTAAAATTTTTTTCTACATCCAGGTTTTAATGATGATGGATCTAGAAAAACTCAAGTTGAGAACAAGCATTCACAATTCCGACCTCCCATTCTGCTACTGACTGAGTACCTGCAGCTGAATCAGCATGCATTGTGAGGATGTCAGTGCTCCATGGATCCAGGCAGTCTGGTTTCCTGATGTGGCATGATAGACAGTTTTAAGTTTCACTTGCTGTAAACACAGCTTGTTTTTGTGTGTGACCAGTTTTTAAAAAAGACCCTTCTTATATGTGTTGTTAGTACCTGTTGTTTGCTTTACATGTTTTGGCATTCTGGTCGTCAAATGAGGGCAAGTTGTTACATTTTAGTTAATGTAAAAGCAGCTGTCGTCACATGTAAAATGGCCTTTGTGTGTGTTTTTCTATTTTAAATTCATCTTATATGTATTATTTCTGGGTTCCAGGGTCCATTGAGTAGGCGGAGGGGGCGGGGGGAAGACTCGCTGCAAATCTTCTTGTGTTTGCTTTCTGATTTACACCGACAGGCAAGTTTTTGTGATAAACTTGACTGTTTCAGGAGTTCCCTTTTAGTTCCATACAACTTTGACTGCAGTGTTGACTCACTGGACCAGTATTCTCTTCTTAATAGGCTGTAAAAGGGACATTCTTGCAGGACATGTTCTGTAATCTGCACACACAGCCCACAAGGGCACAATGGTGAACTACTTCGACGAAGCCTGTGCATATGCTTGTTAAGTTTGTTATGTCGCGTCCTGAGGCATAAAATAATGACCTACCTGCCCAGGCCGGTCAAGTAAGTGGTAATCTCTGACCAGACTGTTCACTTCTGATAGACTGGATGACCCTTTTCTTCTCGAAGTATGTTATTGCATTCTCTTACTGTTCACATTCTGTTCCTTTCTTAGCAAGTTTATCTGCGGTTTCATTTCCTTTTATACCACAGTAGGATGGCACCCCCTGGAATACGATACGCTTGTTTGCAGCCATCTTGCCAAGTTCAGATCTCAGGTGAGGTAGCTTACCACTCTTGAGGGCTTAGAGCACCTTTAGCCCATCTGTGAATATGACCACATGATGGCAGTCAGAACTGGTGTGTAACATTTCAGCAGCCTGCTCTAGAGCTAGGATCTCTGTTGTGTAGTTGGAACAGAATTTGCCAGTGGGACCTCAGATCTGACAAGAATGTTGTAAATGGCAACTAATTAGGGATTTATTGAAGGCTAGTACTAAACCACAAGACAGTGAGCCAGATAAAAAAAAAAAGGTCAGGAGAAGAAGTGCAACATTTTGTGAACTTAATACATTATTTATGATTATTGTTGTTTTAGTAAGATATACCATTTTTTAAATTTGGGTAGATATGGACAAGGCAATTGTTTATGTATTCCATAAAAATCAAACTCTTCTTAAATGTGTTTCTTTTAGTAAAGTGTGGTAGTGGCTTTAAAAAGAAAAAAAAGCTTATGATCATTTTGTAGGCTTCAAACTAATTTTCTGCTGAGACACACAAGTTAATTCCAGCTGATGTTAAAGGCTTGTAAATGTCATCCATTAAAAATCAAGCCATCTTATATATGTGTTACAGTCAGTAAAATTTGTTTTGTTTTTTTTTTGTGTGTGTTGTTAGCTCTGCGTGTTATGGCATTTTTGGTTTTCAAGTTGTGGCAAGCTGTAGTTTTATATTTTGGTTGATGTAAAAAACTTGTATGTGTGTGCTCCATTTTTATTTGTGTTCACGAACTAAAGCGGAAAATAATGTTTTTCTTGTCCACTTCTAGATTTTGATCTTATTTGAAAACTTGAGTTTTGTTTGCACAACCATTTTACAGATCTAGTTTATTTGTCTGCAGGCTGTTGGTTCCTAATCTCTCAGGCAGATGCACTCTGACTCAAAAGGAAACACCCCTAATTAGATGCTTTTTAGTGGCAATGGGTCAATTCTTGTTTGCCCAAAATTGGGTCCTTAACGTCCACTTGGGGATGTGATTTGTTTAGAACCAGATTCTGTTTTCTCATTCTTCTTCTTCTACTTCTTCTTCTTTTTCTTCTTCTTCTCCTGCTATTGCTTCTTCTTCTGCTCCTCCTCCTGGAAAGCCTCGTGGCATCAGAGCATAAAGATGTATCTGGAACGGGCCCTTCTGTTCGCTTCTTCTTATCTTTATTACAGTTAAGGTGGTAAGGTACATAGGAAAAAGTCCCACACATTTTTTTGTGCAACAGTTTTCATATTTTTGCCTTGAATCATATTAGGCATATCCCCATATATATAAAAAAAATCATATAAATAAATACAGATACACTGCATTGACTAGAATCACTTCTCTATACACTCTCCTTAGACGAATGTGCATCCAGTGTTTACATTTCATTACTGTTAGTAAAATCTGAAAAATAATTCCCCCACAAAGTAAACTTTCAAATTATAATTAACCTTTATTAGGCGGAAAAAGAAATACATTGATTTCTTAAAGGGAAGTCACTCTATGATTTGGTATATATTTTCAAGTGTGCATGTCTTAAGTTGTGTTTTTGACAGTTACAACATTTTTGGTTGTTGTTGTTGTTGTTATTTTCTCAGCAGTGTGTTTTTAACATGATTAGTGACCTTTCAAACAAAATAACTTGATTTATCTGATAAGCTTAAAACAACCCTTTGTCACATAATAATGCAGAGTCTGGACTTCAATGAAAACAGATGAATTAAAATGTGTTGGTGGTGTTTTATTAACGTTCAATCCCTCTATCTCCTTATGAAATACAATTTTTCTCTATTCAAGCCCCACCCTGGCCCGACCATAAATATAGTCTAATGGCTGAACATGGTTTCTGGGACCTCTCCACGGTGATCCTCATCCATATGGTGGCACTCTGTGTCATCGGGTGTTTATCGCTTGTGTGATTTTTTTGTTGGATAAAAAATCTACTACTAATACTACTTTATTAATTTTATTAACTCCAAATGTCAACACTTATTTTACCCCCCCCCCAAAAAAAAAAAAAACCAACTGATTAGTCAATGTTTGCCATGCGTTTGAACAACATATCAACATCATGGAACAAGGGTGGTAACTCATAAGTGCTCCGCTCTACTTGTAACTCAAGCCTGAATCCGAAGAATCTCAGCACAGTGCATGAACTCCATAGCACCGGCGAGGATCCTGAAATATGCTGGGTAGATTTTTAACTCAAAATGTTGCCCTGGCAATGCCGTAAGTCTACTCTTTTTCATCTCCAGCTGTGTTGCCAGGTCCAGCTGTCCATGCTGTGTCCAGCGTGCCAGTGTCTCAGCTGTCATGGTGCCAGCTCCAGCCGTGTCATGGTGCCAGGTCCAGCTGTGTCATGGTGCCAGCTCCAGCTGTGTCATGGTGCCAGCTCCAGCCGTGTCATGGTGCCAGCTCCAGCTGTGTCATGGTGCCAGCTCCAGCTGTGTCATGGTGCCAGCTCCAGCTGTGTCGTGGTGCCAGCTCCAGCTGTGTCGTGGTGCCAGCTCAAGCTGTGTCATGGTGCCAGCTCCAGCTGTGTCGTGGTGCCAGCTCTAGCTGTGTCGTGGTGCCAGGTCCAGCTGTGTCATGGTGTCAGGTGGTGCCAGCTCTAGCTGTGTCGTGGTGCCAGCTCCAGCTGTGTCATGGTGCCAGCTCCAGCTGTGTCGTGGTGCCAGCTCCAGCTGTGTCATGGTGCCAGCTCCAGCTGTGTCATGGTACCAGCTCAAGCTGTGTCGTGGTGCCAGCTCTAGCTGTGTCGTGGTCAGCAGTGTGAAAGAAGAGATCCGACTTCAATAAAGAAGAAATTGCTAATTCTCACCTCATTGTGTTGATTCTGTTAAGTGAAAAGTTTACCTGAACTTCCTGGAAATTGGTAAGGTTTAAGAAATTCATATTCTTACTTTTTGTATGAAACATTTGGAAGTAAAGTAAAGGGAACCTTTTCCATACTTTCAGACTTATTGGGCATAAATAAACATGAATCTTACAAAAAAGTTTGTAACATATACCACTGAACGTTAAACCACTAAAAACATGGCTCCAAAGTTAAATGCATTTGAAAACAAAAACCTGAAATAAAATGTTGAACATATTGTGGGATAAAGAAATAAGAGAAATGTCTGGGCAGCCATTGATAACAACAGTTGTAAGACAAAGTAGATGGCGCTTCTTCTTCTTTCATTCACATTTAAATCAATTATCTATGTTTTGCAGTGCTGTCTCTAGTATGGACTTCACTGTCTTTTGTTATTCACTTTGCAGCCTGTAAAGTTTGGCTTCCGCCGGTGTTTCACTTGGCCAGAAGTTTTTGCCTGGAAATTTTGTATTTGGGACAGTCTTGATGGTGGTATATTGGACATATCCTGAGAATAAACGAGCAGAGAATCACCAAGCAGGTAGTGAGATGAGAAATAGAAGGACTAAAAAGGCGAGGATGTTCCCCCATTCTCCACCTACCCCTCACTAAAAAAAAGGATTACACAGGATAGAATGGAATGAAGGAATAGACTACTCACCTTGTGTGACACATGTGTGTTGTGTGACACATGTGTGTTGTGTGACAATGTTGTGTGACACATAATGTTGTGTTACACATGTATATTGTGTGACACATGTATGTTGTGTGACACATGTATATTGTGTGACACATAATGTTGTGTGGCCTGTGTATGTTGTGTTGCACACAATGCTGTGTGATACATAATTTTGTGTTACACATAATGTTGTGTGACACGTGTATGTTGTATGACACATTATATTGTGATACATAATGTTGTGTGGCACATGTATGTTGTATGACACATAATATTGTGTGATACATAATGTTGTGTGACACATAATGTTGTATGACACATAATATTGTGTGATACATAATGTTGTGTGACACATACTGTTTTGTGATATATAATGTTGTGTAACACATAATGTTGTGTGACACATAATATTGTGTGATACATAATGTTGTGTGACACATAAGGTTGTGTGATACATAATGTTGTGTGACACTTAATGTTGTGTGACACATAATGTTGTGTGACACATAATGTTGTGTGACACATGTATATTGTGTGACACATGTATGTTGTGTGACACATGAATATTGTGTGACACATAATGTTGTGTGGCCTGTGTATGTTGTGTTGCACACATTGTTG